TCCTGTTGGTGAAGTACCTGTCGTCATATACTCCTGTAAGTAAAGTACCTGTCGTCATATACTCATGTAGGTGAAGTACCTGTCGGCATATACTCCTTTAGGAAAAGTACCTGTCGGCATATACTCCTTTAGGTGAAGTACCTGTCGTCATATACTCATGTAGGTGAAGTCCCTGTCGTCATAAACTCCTGTAGTTAAAGTACCTGTCGTCATATACTCCTGTAAGTAAAGTACCTGTCGTCATATACTCATGTTGGGGAAGTACCTGTCGTCATATATTCCTGTAGGTAAAGTTCCTGTCGTCATATACTCCTGTAGGTAACGTACATGTCGTCATATACTCATGTAGGTGAACTACCTGTCGTCATATACTCCTGTAGGTGAAGCACCTGTCGTCATATACTCCTGTAGGTGAAGCACCTGTCGTCATATACTCCTGTAGGTGAAGCACCTGTCGTCATATACTCCTGTAGGTGAAGTACCTGTCGTCAGGAATATACTCCTGTAGGAAAAGTATCTGTCGGCATATATTCCTGTAGGTAAAGTACCTGACGTCATATTCTCCTGTAGGTGAAGTTCCTGTCGGCATATACTCCTGTAGGTAAATTACCTGTCGGCATATACTCCTGTAGGTAAATTACCTGTCGTCATATACTCCTGTAGTCCAGTAGGTGAAGTACCTGTCGTCATATACACCTGTAGGTAAAGTACCTGTCGTCATATAATCCTGTAGGTAAAGTACCTGTCGGCATTTACTCCTGTAGGAGAAGTACCTGTCGTCATATACTCCTGTAAGTAAAGTACCTGTCGTCATATACTCCTTTAGGTGAAGTACCTGTCGGCCTATACTCCTGTAGGTAAAGTACCTGTCTGCATATACTCCTTTAGGTAAAGTTCCTGTCGTCATATACTCCTGTAGGTAATTTGCCTGTCGGCATATACTGCTGTATGTAAAGTACCTGTCGGCATATACTCCTTTAGGGAAAGTACCTGTCGTCATATACTCCTGTAGTCCAGTAGGTGAAGTACCTGTCGTCATATACACCTGTAGGTAAAGTACCTGTCGTCATATCCTCCTGTAGGTAAAGTACCTGTCGTCATATATTCCTGTAGGTAAAGTACCTGACGTCATATTCTCCTGTAGGTGAAGTTCCTGTCGGCATATACTCCTGTAGGTAAAGTACCTGTTGGCATATACTCCTGTAGGTGAAGTACCTGTCCATATACTCCTTTAAGTGAAGTACCTGTCGGCATATACTCCTTTAGGGAAAGTACCTGTCGTCATATACTCCTGTAAGTAAAGTACCTGTCGTCATATACTCATGTTGGGGAAGTACCTGTCGTCATATATTCCTGTAGGTAAAGTACCTGTCGGTATATACTCATGTAGGTAAAGTACCTGTCGGCATATATTCCTGTAGGTAAAGTACCTGTCGGCATTTACTCCTGTAGGAGAAGTACCTGTCGTCATATACTCCTGTAAGTAAAGTACCTGTCGTCATATACTCCTGTAAGTAAAGTACCTGTCGTCATATACTCCTTTAGGTGAAGTACCTGTCGGCCTATACTCCTGTAGGTAAAGTACCTGTCGTCATATACTGTCTGCATATACTCCTTTAGGTAAAGTTCCTGTCGTCATATACTCCTGTAGGTAAAGTACCAGTCGGCATATACTCCTGTAGGTGAAGTTCCTGTCGTCATATACTCCTGTAGGTAAAGAACCTGTCGTCATATACTCCTGTAGGTAAAGTACCTGTCGTCATATACTCATGTTGGTGAAGTACCTGTCGTCATATATTCCTGTAGGTAAAGTACCTGTCGTCATATACTCCTGTAGGTAAAGTACCTGTCGGCATATACTCCTTTAGGTAAAGTACCTGTCGTCATATACTCCTGTAGTCCTGTAGGTGAAGTACCTGTCGTCATATACTCCTGTAGGTGAAGTACATGTCGTAATATACTCATGTAGGTGAAGTACCAGTCGGCATATACTCCTGTAGGTGAAGTACATGTCGGCATATACTCCTGTAGGTAAATTACCTGTCGGCATATACTCCTTTAGGTAAAGTTCCTGTCGTCATATACTCCTGTAGTCCTGTAGGTGAAGTGCCTGTCGTCATATACTCCTGTAGGTAAAGAACCTGTCGGCATATACTCCTGTAGCTAAAGTACCTGTCGGCATATACTCCTGTAGGTAAAGTTCCTGTCGTCATATACTCCTGTAGGTAAAGTACCTGTCGTCATATACTCCTGTAGGTGAAGTACCTGTCGTAATATACTCATGTAGGTGAAGTACCTGTCGGCATATACTCCTGTAGGTGAAGTACCTGTCGGCATATACTCCTGTAGGTGCTGTGTTCTTTATTGGCCAAAGGCCCTTAGGCTTATAGGTACATGCACATATACATATAACATTCTCTAAAAATACCGTTCAATAATGTGCATATAACAATACTTAATTAACACATTACAGTTATGGAACACCACAATACATGAACCTTAAATTAACGCCTCTTAAAAGCTAAATGTAAATATTTTCCTAAATTGGATAGCTCTCTGACATTATTCATACTAAGTAGTTGTATTGATTTAAAAATCGAGGATTAAAGTACCTGTACAGTAGCCGTACCTTACACTCTACTTGTTCATCTAAAGCGGAGTGGATACAGTAACTAACATATTGGTTATTAGCCAGTTACAGTACAAAGAATGTACCATTCATCGCCTTAAATCGTTTATTAATTCATGTATTAAACTATGTGTTTCTAAATCGACCAAGTCATAAATGATTTTAGTATGAAATTGGACAGAAAAGCGTAAATGTTTACGACGATTAATAGGCTAATTATGTATTAATAACTAGACCTACCGAGGAAATGAATTGAAATTACATCTATCGCATCCAGATGTGTGTTACGATCCCGTCACTAAGTGATTTCTGTTAAAACCACGACAATAAAAGTATTTATATTTTCCGTTACTTGGCTTATAGGCTGGTGTGTTGTGCATTTCGCACGCACATTAACCACTGTGTACGACTAACACCGGATATTGCTAGTAACGAAGCGGGCATGGAAGCTGGACGTATTCATGTCACGTTAAGTTTTCCGATATTTCTTGTATTTTCTGGTAGTGTAGACACAGATAAAGAAGCACGATAGTCAATTTCAAGCATAGACGTAATTCATATCTGTAACAGGAGGCATGTAAAATTGTTGGTGTAGTTGCAAATTATTTACAAAAACAGTCTGCCTAGTGCAGCTAAATCTTCGTTCGCAACAGTAAATATTGTCTTTCCTTGACATTTGCCAGTGGATTATATGCATTTTATTCTACGATGATAATATATGGAATAACTTTACGTTATGCTTCTTTCTTTAGATATTGGCATAACTAATTTTGGTGAAGTGTATGGCGAATAGAAATACATTGTATACGGCGAATAGGAATTTTCAAAATAACTGGTGTACGGCGGATAGTCCATATGGTATACAGTATTCAAGTGTTCTCTTTGCGTAAATGTGATATATTTTGTTAAAGCTAAACTGAAACCAGCGTTCCTCGTAAATCTCCGACTGTCTAAAATGCACGCACTTTATATTATCGTACGTAAGTTGTATAACAACAAAGATTACCAGAAACAACAATGCACTCAATATAGTTGTACAGGTAAGTCAGTATGCTAACCACTAGTCTACCTGTGCTGTAGACTAAAATGATAGGCCAAACACAATATTTGTGTGTCTGTTTTCAGCCCTTCAAATATTAGGGTTGCAAAATATTTTTTTAAAGAAACAACAAAGTTTTAGACCATATTTCAAAGTGCTTATTAAAAAGGAATGAAAATAGAGTTAGAAATCTGGAGTAGGAATAAAACAGACTTGTTCCCTTGCCTGTTAGAGGTATACATATTTTCCACTTTCAGACGTCTGTGTTGCAGATAAATGTGAATAAATTGAGGATACATTAACTTGACTATCGTTTATTTCTTTATTTCTTTACAAATTTAGGTATTAGTGCAGATTTTCTCTACATCATCATTACAATTCCCCCCCCCCCCCCTTATTTTAACACTAATAGGTGTATGAATCATGTTGTGACAGGGAAAGATTCCAACTATCCACCTTATTGTCAGGGTCACATCTAAAGTTCCAACTCTCCTCCTTATTGTCAAGGTCATAGCTTAAGTTCCAACTCTACAACCCTATTGTCAAGGTCACAGCTAAAGTTTCAACTTTCCACCGCTATTGTCTAGGTCACAGCTTAAGTTGTGTTATAGCATGTGAAAAATGGTTAATCCTTATCATTATTTAACTCGACATTCATAAGACTTTCGACAATCTGTACTGCCCCTTCCCTTACGATATCATTCAAAAGTGTTACAGAGCAACATCATTGGTATGTTACTCCAATGGTATAACTGCTCGCTCTTAACATAGTGATGCTAGTATAGCTATTCGCCGTACTTTTTAACATGCTACCTGTAGTTGCCGTACACTTGACAATGAATCAACATCTTTTCGCCGTACACAGACGAAAACACATTTTAGTCAATTACATCGTAATGACTACATATAACCATTATATGCCAGTACATATGCCAGTTACGTCCGTTTCATCATCGTATATGTCATACTTTAATCGTTACATCTCTTCTTCTTTCTTTGTAAATGATTATTTTTCGCGATACGAATAAAGCAGAGTCCAGGCTGGGTACGAATAGCGAAGATTCCAATCGGAATACGAATATAGTAGAGTCCGGGTGGGATACGAATATAGCAGAGTCCAGACGGGATACGAATATAACAGTGTCCATGTGGGATACGAATATAACAGGGTCCGGATGGAATACGAATATAGCAGGGTCTATGTGGGATACGAATATAACAGGGTCCGGGCGGGATTCGAATATAGCAGGGTCCAGGCGGGATACGAATATAGCAGGGTCCATGGGGGATACGAATATAACAGGGTCCGGGCGGGATACGAATAAAGCATGGTCAAGAGTCCAGTCGGGATACGCATATAGCAGGGTCCATGTTGGATACGGATATAGCAGGGTCCAGGCGGGATACGAATATAACAGGGTTCGGGCGGAATACGAATATAGCAGGGACCATGTGGGATACGAATATAACAGGGTCCGGCCGGGATACGAATATAGCAGGGTCCAGGCGGGAGACGAATATAGCAGGGTCCAGGCGGGATACGAATATAAGATGGTTCGGGGGGAATACGAATATAGCAGGGTCTATGTGGGATACGAATATAACAGGGTCCGGACGGGATTCGAATATAGCAGGGTCCAGGCGGGAGACGAATATAGCAGGGTCCAGGCGGGATACGAATATAGCAGTGTCCATGTGGGATACGAATATAGCAGGGTCCGGATGGAATACGAATATAGCAGGGTCCATGTGGGATACTAATATAACAGGGTTTATGTGGGATACGAATATAACAGGGTCCGGGCGGGCTTCGAATATAGCAGGGTCCAGGCGGGATACGAATATAAGATGGTTCGGGGGGAATACGAATATAGCAGGGTCTATGTGGGATACGAATATAGCAGGGTCCATGCGGGAGACGAATATAACAGGGTCCGGGCGGGATACGAATATAGCAGGGTCCAGGGGGGATACGAATATAACAGGGTTCGGGGGGAATACGAATATAGCAGGGTCTATGTGGGATACGAATATAACAGGGTCCGGACGGGATTCGAATATAGCAGGGTCCAGGCGGGAGACGAATATAGCAGGGTCCAGGCGGGATACGAATATAGCAGTGTCCATGTGGGATACGAATATAGCAGGGTCCATGCGGGAGACGAATATAACAGGGTCCGGGCGGGATACGAATATAGCAGGGTCCATGTGGGATACGAATATAACAGGGTCCGGGCGGGATACGAATAAAGCATGGTCAAGAGTCCAGTCGGGATACGAATATAGCAGGGTCCATGTTGGATACGGATATAGCAGGGTCCAGGCGGGATACGAATATAGCATGGTCAAGAGTCCAGGTGGGATACCATTAAAGCATTACCACATGTTGTTTATTGAAAAACAAATACTGTCAACCATAGCATAATCACATGTTGTTTAGTGAGAAACAAATACTGTCAACCATAGCATAATCACATGTTGTTTATTGAAAAACATATACTGTCAACCATAGCATAATCACATGTTGTTTAGTGAGAAACAAATACTGTCAACCATAGCATAATCACATGTTGTTTATTGAGAAACATATACTGTCAACCATAGCATATCATATGTTGTTAAGTGAAAAACAAATACTGTCAACCATAGCATAATCATATTTTGTTTTTGTGAGAAACAAATATTGTCAACGATACCATTATCATACATTGTTTTTGTGAGAAACAAATATTGTCAACGATGACATTATCATAATTATGTTCTAGTGAGACACACATATTGTCAACGATACCATTATCATAATTATGTTCTAGTGAGACACAAATATTGTCAACGATAACATTATCATAATTATGTTCTAGTGAGACACAAATATTGTCAACGATAAAATTATCATATGTTGTTTACATAAACAAATGTTTTCACCGTTATCATTACAACGTATCATATGTTGTTTATAAAGAAATACATATTATTAAACATAGAATTAGCATAATTTATGTTGTTTATAAATAAATATTTATATAAAATTAGCATATGTTGTTAGTCAAATACATCTTGTCACCCATAGTATTACAAAATGTATAGAAAGGACAAATAGTTTTAAACATAGCGTTATCAGATGTTTCAGACAAACACATATTGCCAACCATAGCGTTGTGAGATGCTGTTCAGAGAAACGTATGCTCCTTTCTCTAGCGTTATAAGAGGTTTGTTAGATCACTAGACAAACAAATAACGGTAGATAGGCTAGAAGTTGTAAATAAGGAGACAAAAAGACTGAAGGAAAGGGATCATAAACCTCACAACAAACGAAGTAAAAAACGGGATTTGGAAGGGAGGAACAAAATCTCCATCAGTTGTGGTACCTGCAATGCTGTCTCCTGTCGCCATGCTGGGTTGTGTACCATACCGCCGGCATAGTCATGCTAGGTTGTACACCATACCGTCGGCATAGTCATGCTGGGTTGTACACCATACAGCCGGCATAGTCATGCTGGGTTGGACACCATACCGCCTGCATAGTCATGCTGGGTTGTACACCATACCGTCGGCATAGTCATGCTGGGTTGTACACCATACCGTCGGCATAGTCATGCTGGGTTGTACACCATACGGCCGGCAAAGTCAAGCTGGAATGTACACCATACAGCCGGCATAGTCATGCTGGGTTGGACACCATACCGCCTGCATAGTCATGCTGGGTTGTACACCATACCGTCGGCATAGTCATGCTGGGTTGTACACCATACCGTCGGCATAGTCATGCTGGGTTGTACACCATACGGCCGGCAAAGTCAAGCTGGAATGTACACCATACAGCCGGCATAGTCATGCTGGGTTGTACACCATACCGCCGGCATAGTCATTCTGGGTTGTGTACCATACCGCCGGCATAGTCATGCTGGGTTGTACACCATACCGCCGGCATAGTCATCCTGGGTTGTACACCATACCGCCGGCATAGTCATGCTGGTTGTGTACCATACCGCCGGCATAGTCATGCTGGGTTGTACACCATACCGTCGGCATAGTCATGCTGAGGTGAATACTCCAGTATCTGAAATAAAAAAATAAATACATATATTTAATAAAAATGTCTGCACCACGATGACCTGCAATCATCTGAAAGATCTAATCGTGGTAAAATTTCGATTTTCTTCTACATGTCAGTAGTTTTCACGAAATAATTAATCGAATAATTAATCCGAAATTCAACCTCATTTCAACATTTCGTTAAAACCCGAAATGAAGTCGAGGTTGTTTTCGGTACAATGACGAGCATTCAATAAATGAGTGAGGATTTGTGATTAGACCTGCCTAGGGGAGATTGAAACAAAATCAGGCGTACCAAAGGGATTGCATCTCAGGAACCCCTTCATAGTGATTGAGCATGAAAAATAGACAAAGCAATCGACAAACAGCAATTGTGCTCGAAGCTGGTAATTAAAAATTAACATTTAAGACAGTGAAGGAAGAATGGCGAATTATGGTTGTATGTATTCAGCAATTTTGGCTTTTATTTCGTTATTATCACTACATACATAATCATTTAGAAACGTAACGGATGATGATAGTATTTGTAACATACATAGCGCCTTACATGTACCAGAATCGTATAGACTTCTAACAGGGCGGGGGGTCAGCAATGTTTACCAGAATCGTATAGACTTCTAACAGGGAGGTCAGCAATGTTCGTATAGACTACTAACAGGGAGGTCAGCAATGTTTGTATAGACTTCTAACCGGGAGGTCAGCAATGTTCGTATAGACTACTAACAGGGAGGTCAGCAATGTTTGTATAGACTACTAACAGGGGGGTCAGCAATGTTTGTATAGACTTCTAACAGGGAGGTCAGCAATGTTTGTATAGACTACTAACAGGGGGGTCAGCAATGTTTGTATAGACTACTAACAGGGGGGTCAGCAATGTT